CATACTCAAGGACTATGCAGAGATTGATTGTTTTCGATAAATATTTGTGCATATTAATCACCTAATTTGCATAATTAGTTAATTTTCAGCTTTTCCATGGGTATCTCAAGTACTAATCATCGCATTTCAATGAAACTTGGTACATAGATCCTTTAGGACTATGCAGAGACCTGATTAGTTTTAGGGTAAATAATTGTGCATATTAATTACCTAATTTGCATAATTAATTTTCAGCTTTTCTACTGATATCTAAAGTACTAATCATCACATTTCAATGAATCTAGAATTATGCAGACCCAATTAGTTTCCGGTAAATATTTGTGCATATTAATCACCTAATTTGCATAATTAACCAACTTTCACACTGATATCTCAGGTACTATACATCACATATCAATGAATGTACATGGATGCTGTAGGACAATAGACAGACCTGAATAATTGTGGGTTACAATCTGTACATATTAATTACCTAATTTGCATAATTAACCAATTTTAAGCTTTCACACTGATATCTAAAGTACCGTAAAAACTCCAAAATTTCGACCGGTTTTAAATAATTGGTGTTAGAAATGTGACGTGTTTTTAGAGTAAAAATTAAGGTGCATTTTCGGACGGTCGAATTTTTCAGAATAGAAATCAGCAAATGAAAAAATGGGGATGATAGACAGTGTGCTTCATTAGTTTTTAAAAAATGCAATGTCCGTCAATTGACGTAAACTTCCTCATGTTTCACGGTAAAAGCAAAGGTCATGGCCGAGTTGTAACTCAAAATCTAAACAAAGTCATCAATCAGTGAGTATTATGACAAGCAAAACAAAACATCAAGAAGCGGAGAAGAGGTCAGCACAAAACAATGTCAAAAGACAAAGCTGTCTCGCACTACCTAGGAAAACTTGCGAATGTTCGAAGTACAGGTACCCATTGGACAAAAGATACATGGAAGTTTAGCAAACTATCTCCCCGACCCAGTGCAATGTATCCGGTTAGAATCAAAGCTCACGTGTCCCTTATTTGAGGGACCAAATTCTGCCGTAAATTCGCCCTTGGATTAAAAAATAAAATGGGATTTAAGAAAATAAAATGGGACTTTAAGGTGTATTTGGC